TTGGACTATGAACGCCAGAATGAATATCGTTTTGTAGTGACTGCTAAGGATGGTGCACCTGATGCTCGTTTGGGTACTGCCAGCGTTACTGTGATGGTACATGATTTGCCTGATGAGGTACCCAAATTCGTTGAATCACGCATTGATGTACGCATACCAGAAAATGAACCCAATTATCTTGTAGCAACAGTGCAAGCCATTGATCCTGATACCATGCCGGAGATAACTTATGTGCTGCGCAAGGGTGAATCTGAACTATTCAAAATTTCGCCACAAACTGGAGAAATCCGTACAACTACTGGCTTAGATTATGAAAAACAGAAACAACATGAGCTCGTAGTGGGTACCATAGAAAATGATGGAGACAGCGCCGGTGACACAATTCGCGTAATAGTCGATGTAAGTATCTTTTAAAATTGAAAATAATTCGGAGCAACCTTATTAATCTGCTGTTATATTTTTATAGGTTGAGGATCGCAATGATATGCGTCCACTCTTTGTGTCTGTACCCGAACCTGTTACTGTCAGCGATGACCAACCCATAGGTACAATTATAGCTACAATGGCTGCTATAGATAACGACGGCACCTCACCAGGCAATGTGGTACGATATGAAATGGTGGGACGTGGTAAAGCCTTAAAATATTTCCAAGTCGACGCCGATACGGGTGCAGTGCGCATACGTGACGAATTACGCAAAGAAGAAGACACCGAGTACCAAGTCGATATACGTGCTTATGATATGGGTGAACCTCAACTTAGTTCTGTAGCGACACTGCCAGTTTATATACGCCATCTTCTTACCGATCCTGTACAAGAGAACAACATGGTTTCCAAACTCAATAGTGGAGTAATTATTTTACCAGAAAGTTCTGGGCTCGCTTTCAGTGATGATAGCTACACCACTGGAGTGCCAGAGACAACAGGCATTAATGCTACTATTAAATTGATACAAATAATCAACTCCAAAAAAGCCATACATAGTAATCCTGGCTTTAAGTGCGAAATAGTGAGGGGCAATGAAATGGGTATTTTTGATGTCACCATTGAGGATCATGGTTGTGGCATTAAACTAATCAAGCATTTGGACTACGAAAACAAGACCTCACACACACTACATTTGCGTTTGGTGTCCCATAAGTATTTAGTGAATCAGCAAAAGGATATGACCACAGTTAAAATAATTGTGCAGGACGAAAATGATAACGCGCCCGAATTTATATTCAATCGTTTAAATGGTCGGAAGGACACATTCTATTCTGTGGTCTCTCCGGATGTAGACATAAATACACCAATTATGCAGGTGCGTGCTACCGATCGAGATTCTGGTAAATTCGGTATGGTCCGCTATAAGATATACGATGAGGAAAACAATAGTGTGAGAGATGAGAACTTGGTAAGTGAAAGATTTGAAGTAGCGATAATCGAAAGAAACTATTCAAGTTCTTTTTTTTTAAATTTATTCAGCCCACAACTTACTTTACCATGCACGAAGAAACAGGCATCCTTCGTACCGCAAAACTGTTCCGTGATGAAGCGAACTTTCCTATGGTGTTCTATGTAGAGGCACGCGATAACGATGGTCAGGAGCTTGGTTCACACCGCACACGTGCACGCATTGTCATTAATCAAATCACAGATCAGAATCGCATGTCTTTAGTGTTTTCGGATGCATCACCCAACCAAATTAAGAACCACTTCACTGCTATAGAAGAGCTATTGATGGAGAAAACGAATGGACTTATGGGTGGTATTGAGCGCTTCAGCAATCGCAAATTTTTAAATGCGAATGGCACTGTTGTTGAGAATCCTGCTGCAACTGATGTCTGGTTTTATTTGATTGATCCCAAATCGGAACTGATAGTTAAACGTAACGATACAGTGGTACAAGAGACTCTGTTAGAACCAGCCGCACGTTCGAAACTGAATTTTGAAGCTTCGGGCATAGCTCGTGCCACGGCTGAGGGAATTTTCGCACCAATCGAAATAAAACAACAAGTCCATAAGGTAAGTAGATATGGTATATTGAGACTATATACGTGTAAATATGTGACTCAGAATATAGATAATTGTATTTAACGATATAATGAAAATAAAAATTTTAGATTAAATCACCGATTGCAATAAATGATGAAGTCTTCCCTTATACGCTTATTGCTGTGTCCATAATTATATTGATTTTGGGTATCATTGGCATAATATACATATGTATCTCTTGGTCAAAGTAAGTTATAAATAATATTATTACTTTTTGATTATCATTATATTTTAATTACTTTTTAGATATAAAAACTTCAAGCAACGTATGCGTCAATACTCAGCACCTAGTCCGACACGCTATGATCCTGTCATTGTTAATTCGCAGGCATCGAATGCAGGCGACACCATAGCCAACCTTAAGGAATACGAAACTCAAGTGTTAGCTATGGCTGTTCCACCAGATGGTGATGACGATCTACAACTCGATTTCAGTGCCAAAAACCATGCCTTTTCACTAGACAACGTAAGCTACATAACGCATAAGGAACAAAATGGTGGCGGCCAAGCCAGCCCCTCCCACTCTGAAGCAACAACAGCTACAATTGCAACTTTACGTCGCAATAACAACAACAACCTAAACAATCTGTCCAACAACAACAACCATACCATGAATAATCGTCAGAACACATTCAATCGCACTTTGGAAATGAATGCTCGGAATAATGCCAACCCATTGGCTGCCGCTGCTAATGGCACACTGCCAGGTACACTGACGCTGGGACGGATAAAACACCAGAACAGCAATCATTATCAAAATGGTGGCTATAAGTTGGACTCTGTGAGCCGAAATAATTTAGCCAATATACAAAATAATGCCTACAGTACGCTGGGTAGGCGTGGCAACCTCTATAGTAATACAAATAGTCATGATAATAATCAACATAATCATCATCAGCACAGAGGCACATTTGCGGATGTGCCAATCACAAATCCACTTTTTCAAAGGCGAGTTGACTAAACAGAATTAATTAATATTTTTGCTAATCTTTATTTACTGCTTATTTGAAAATATTAATATATTTTTTTATATATTAAACTAAATGCATAAAACTTATTTAATGAGGAATGTTTTTCTTTTATAGGTCAAATGGGGACTTGAGCCACATCAGTTCCACAAATGAGAATGTAACATTTGGCAAGAGAGATTACGGTCAAATGGGCTTTTCCTACTTAAACGATTTGGATCGTTCTGAAGTGGAGACTACCACAGAACTTTAAATGCCAAAACCAAAGACCGTATACGGGCTTTGCCAAAACGACCAAATGAAAAACTTAACGAAACTTTTGAACGAAAGCGCACTGCAAATAAAACGAAATCGAAAGTTAACCATGAAATGCTTTTCTTGGTCTAGAATAATAAAACCTTTAGTTGCCAATTTGTAAAAAAATTGTTATTTAATTTAAATATACAATAGATATTAATTAAAAGTAAATTAATTTTGTGTAAATATCTTATGAATTTTATGGTTTCCAATAAGCAGCTATCAAGCGTTTAATTTAAAAGTGAATAATTTGATTTTAAATTTTCTTTATTTTTTTTTTTAATATTTTTAAGATGTAAATTTATTTAATATGATTTACTGTAAAAATAATAATTAATTATATAAATCAGTTTGTAAAATATAAAATAGAAAAAACAGACTATA